GGACTCGAAGAACTTCCATAATATACTAAACCAACATGTTACGGCACTATTTAAAGGTGTCTCAGCCTTATACAAACCACACCCTTCTAAAAGTGCACTATAGACAAATTAAAAGAGGATGTATATTGTGCTCTTGTAGAGCATATATTATAATTATATTCCCTCGGTCAAAAGACTTGCTTGTGAGACTTTATTAATCATAAATTTTGAGAACAACATAAGAATCACTATAGAATTACTTTCAAAGGGCAAATAAAATTGAATTTTGAGTTTTCTAAGTCTTGGATCTCACCTTTCAAAAATTAAATGGTCTCCGTGTAATCTTGAGAAGTTATTTTTTTCAAATGCATGCAGTTATGGATCCTTGTTTTTTATTGAGGTTACTCTTATGGGTTAAACGTGTTACATTTTTAAAATTTGGGATCCTAAAATTACTCCTTGATTAGGGTCACCTGAGGGAGTAAATGGAAAGTATAATCCGGCAGGAGCATAAAATCTATCGGCGATTAAAAAGGCCCTACTTGGACATTTGGGGCATGCGGACCATATTCCATGGCACATTGCTGAGGTAATGCACTCACTTTGAAAGGATCCCACCAGCCACAAAATTAGGGTTGGCGTTTGGCTTGGGTTTATGGTGGTTGAATTGACCCGGGTCGAGGACTGGATCTAACTTTTGGACGTGCAAGTTGGATTTGGGTCGATAAGTATGGACCCTAGGTTAGGTTATGTCTTGGTCCAACCTTTATAAGTCGTTCAAGGTGGGCCAAACCCAACCCAATATATGTGCGCATGCATGCACACACACCTATCGCGACCAACTGGCTCCACCCTCAAACACTGTCATTTCGAGTTTAGATTGGGCCCGACCCAACCCATTAATATCCTACACAAAATACAACACCCTTTACTTCTTTAAATTAATATATCTTGACAAGACTTAATATTGATCGTTAAAAAGGATTGGGCTAACGCAAGGCCTAGGCATTGCAGAAAGCAGTACTACTGTGCTTTAAAACTATGTAAAAAGATGAAGTTTCAGTGCAATAAACCCCCTATAGTGGCCTGAAAATTCATGTGTGCTCCGGTTATGAAATATGGAACCTGAAAAATGGTGCAGACCTAATAGTTATATAAATTATAGAAAAGTATACAAAGAGACTATTTATTTTTTGTACAAGGAGGTCATAGCTATTCTTGTCCATCAAATTTCAAATCAAATGGTTGTTAGTATATTTGTGGCTAAACTCAAAACCTAACAAAAAATATATTGAACTTCGTGACATACCTCAAGCCATCCAATTGAACATTTAATGGCTAGGATTAATTGTAACCTCCATATACTAAAAATAAATAATCTCATAATATACAATCCCATAACATATTTTCCTCTAAAATAATATCGTTCAAACAATACCAATAAATATGGAGGGGACGTTGTTGTTTGAAAGTAGTTCTCTAAGATTGATTGGCTCCATGAATTTTGAAAGATTAGGTTATCAACACCTATTAACACTGATTCAGTTATGTTCTCAAGTTTTATGCCCACCAATTTATTCTCATATTTTTATTTTAGGAGAGACAAATCCTATCCAAACAAATTTTCATGCTTTTTTTTTTTTAAAAAAAGGGAATTTTCGTACTTTTTTTCTCTACAAACCATTCCACAATTCCTTATAATTTTATGTTTACAACAGCCAAACCCCATCAAAACAAAATTTTCATGTTTTCTTTTTCCTTAGAAATTACACCGTAGCTCCAAGGGAATATGGTGCACGGTACGTCCCACAAGCCCTTCGCCTCTGTCCAAACCAAGGGAGTATAGTATACGGATAGGTTAAAAAAAACGGATAGGTTAAAAAAACGGATTGGTAACTTGGATCGGCTACCCAAAAAAATATATTAGAACAGCGGATCGGTGATCTGAATGGGAGAATTGAGTGTCAGCCCAATAAAATTTTAAAAAATCACTGAAGTTTCTTAAAAATGACCTAATTTTTTATGTTTCCAAATAAAATTGGGGTATTGCATTGTAGATTTTCACTATTTTATTGAAAATATATAAATACTGAAAAGATGTTTCATACACGAGTATTTGTTGATCACTACATCCATTCCATAGTCAAATTGTAGTTTAAAAGAAAACCTATTACAATAAAAATGGATCGCTCGAACATAAATCTTTTTATTTTTATTTTTATAATCTCTATTATCAATTGTGATTGTAAACATATGGGATCTTGCCTCCTCGTTTCTTATTGTAAAGAAAAAAAAGTAAAAAAATTACAGGTGACAAACTTTCAATCGCCTAACAATTTTTGATCCAGATATGGTGATCCGATTCGAATCGTCGAATTTTAAAACCTTGGTATATGGTATATGCCGCACTAGCCCTCCATCACCATCCAAACCAGTGTTTGAAAAAACAGATCAAAAACCAATATGGGTTGGCATATTGGCAGTGGATCAACGATATGGTAGAGTGAATCGGTACGTTGGATCGGCCGTTTCTTTTATAGAACTAACTTATTATGTCTGAGAACCGGTCAGTTCTTAGGAAAAACCAACATGATCCCAATAGATGGTGAGAACTAGATTGGCCCACTAATTCTCAATTCCGGTCAGTTCTTAGGAAAAACCAACATGATCCCAATATATGGTGAGAACTAGATTGGCCCACTAATTCTCAATTCCGATCGAGCGACCCTGTATGGATCAACTTTTTTTAACACCCTACTCCTGCCCATTGATTGGATGGTGATGATCTTTAAAGGTATATTGAGTGCTATATAGCTCCTTTGAGAGCACGTTATACATTTACTTTTTTAGATGAAAGAACTAGTTGGGAGTATTTTTTCCATCTAAAATTTAAATCTATTTTCACCATTGAGTATTTTTAAAGAAAAATAAACAACTATTGTGTTTTTAAACATTTATAACTGGGCATCAAAAAAATGGATGGTCTCCTATTCAATCTTAAAACATTGTTATTTCAAGCACATATAGAATGCACTCAAATCTTTTATTTTTATTTTCTCTTTTAAGAGGCCGGTCACACGGTTGTAAATACTACGTCCCCTGAATAAGATTTTTACTGGATGGATGCATAAGGTCTTTCCTATTATCTTTCTAATTTATTTTCTTGTTCTCTATGAATAAGTTCCTAAAAGATACAAAAAGGATGGCAAACTCCAATCCATACAATGATATTCCAAAGAAAACCTTCTATGGTCATATTTCATAAGAGAAGTATATTTACTAGTATTATAGCCATCCAATCACTTGATTAGCGGTTTATAGTGATGCCCACGAGAAATCTCTATCATCATTGTCCATTAATAATTTGGATCTAGCTTGCACATATGACCACATAGGTTCTACTATCATATGGATCATAGCGCAGCACAAAACTTATACCTTTCAAGGATAATTCTCTCTATTAGGCGTCATTGAGAGTATGACTTTTGATATTACAGAATGATGGACCAATATTCATATAGCCGATTCCAAATCGTTGGGAAAAGATTCTTATGATGATGATGATGATGTTTAATCGGTATTTTTTTGTTTTTTTGTTTGGTAGTTGTTCTTCATGGAGTTTATTTTTGTTGTCCTAGCATTTTCTTGTCTCCGATTTTTGTTTTTTTGTCTTTTGATTGAATTCTGGTTAAATTCGATCTACTCAGGTTAATTTTTTGCGGTGTTAATGTTGCGATTAGGTAAATTTGTTGGCCTGATTGAATGTAGAGGTGAGTGGTTTTCAATTATGACAAGTAATTCCTTTTTTTTTAAGCTTAATTTAGTTGATAATTGGTGCTAAATTCTACTCAGATTAATGCTATATAATATCTGAAATAAATTTCATTAAATAATTCCGAGCAAACTCCATTTCACATAGTTTTTTAATGAATAGACGAAATATTTTAGTGTTAGGGAACCATAGGGATTTGGATTAACAAACGCCATTTCATAATTATTTTATTATTTTGTAACCATGGAACATTGGATCATTTGCAGTTCGGTAGATATTCGATCACTATGACTGGCACATGAGAACATTTGGATTTGAGAAAACCCTTTTAATTTTATATACAAAAAATTAATCAGTTTATGTGCCTTTTTTAAGCTAAACAAACTAATGCATAAACATACTTAGAAACTCTTTACATTTGAGTAAGTTTGACATAACTAGTTAAAATTTTTACAGTTAAGTTTGATATAACTGCCAAATAAAAAAACAAAAAACAAGAAAAACAGTTTGATGTGATGTAAGAACCGGACCGGACTAACCGGATCAAACTGAAAACGTAGAATATGTCGTTAGTTTAGTTCAAACTGTAAAAAGATGAACGGATTACTAATAACCCGTTCATGTTTTTTACAATTTGATCTAGAGTTTGAACAATGAACTGTATGGTTCATTGCAGGTGGAGCAGCCTGTAAGAACAGGAGGGGCCCTCTGGTCGAGTGCCGAACCAGTTAGTCCAATATTTACCGATAAAGTTTCTATAAGGCCTAGCTCTATGTAAAAAAAAAATGAAGCTTTTGGATGCTTTTGTATAGTGCCGAGGCTCTAAACAATCAGAGTAAAGCACACCTTCAAATAGTATTGAGGAATGTAGTTTCAATGTTAAAAATATTTGTGATAGCTTTAAATAATATTTTTATTTTTAATTATATAATTTAAAACTTTTAAAATAATGTAGATCAAGTAGATCTATGAAAATTTGAAAATCTAAAAAATTAACGGTCCAAAAATGTATTACAAGATGCACTATTTCTTAAACTTGAAATCCATTTTTTTGTTATACCCATGCATCTAGATGTCAATTTGAAGATATTTGGACACCAAAATAACCTCTTCTAGGGATTTTTGATGTTGGCTCTAATTTGATTGTTTAGAGCCTCAGCAATATATAAACTTTTTCATGAAAATACCTTCTTGTTTTTTTCTCATTTGGTCCTGCGTAAATCGTTCAGGGGTACTTCTGTCAATTATAGACAGGGAAGATTAGGGCTTTTAGAAAACGTAATTTTAGTAGAGAGAGAGAGAGGGACCGAGCTCATTTGCGCTCTACCTATACTCCACAATACCTAGCGCTTTTTTCCGGCAACTTTCCACGACGAATAAGCCCATCAATCCGCCTCTGTTCGAAACCCAAGTAAGCATATTCAATCACTATTTTTGTTGTTTGATTTATTGTCGAAAAAAAAGGAAAAAATTCGGATTTTTTTTGTGGGTTTTTGCAAGAAATCTTGTAATGTGCCTTGAGTCTTAATATCCATTATGTTGGGGTGGTTTTTCATAGGCTTTTGCACATGAAAAATGCTTTTTCGTGAGTTTTTACATTGTTTTTTTACTCTCTCTTTCTAAAAGTCATTGCCATTTCTTCCAAACAAGAATTTTCCGTTTTTTTTTTTGTTTTTGTTTTTTGTTTTGTTTTGTTTGTTTTGTTTTGTTTGTTTTTTTTTTTTTTTTGTGTGTGTTTTGAATGATTTGAGTTCATAGTATTAGGGATATTTTGATTTAGGGATAGTTGGATGGGTGCTCTAATTAATATTCAGGATATTTTCTTTTGAAGCTTACTATTACGAGATTATGCTATTTATCATACTGATTTTTGTCCATGATAGAGGGCCAAGTTGGAACCTTTTTGTTCGTTGAATGGTGGAGATGATTATTATGTTGACTGTTATTCTATTCATATTATTTGTATCTTCCTTTGAGGTCTCTTGATACGTTGAAATTTAAGCTTGACTGTTCGAAGCTTTGCGATGATTTAGTTGTATTCTCCTTTTTGCAGCTGAAATCTTGCAATGTCGACTAATCCCACTGCATTGGAGAAGGAACAGGTTTGCCTGTCTATTTACATTCCTCAGTCTTAATTTTGTTCTTTTTGTCGAATAATGAATTGTCGTTAACACCTAAATGATTACTCAGTTGTAGATGAAATGCATCGAAAGTTATTGATGATAAATTAAATCTATGGAGATCCCATTCAGTGTACTTTGGAGCTATAGGCATAAACATAGAGCCCTTTTGCTTTTCTTTTTGAATTCTAGTTAGTATGTTGAGGATTGCTATAAAGCCACATTACAAAATATAAAATGGTGATAAGTGGCAATTTTAAACCATTGTTTAGCAATGAGCACGAAATTTCAGGCTGGATCTTTAAGTGGTATCTTTAACATTGTAGCACGTGGGTCTTTTAGAGATGACCTTCATGGCAGAACGGATCTCAAGATAACAGTTCCATATAGTCTTGTGAACCCCAACCAGTATGCTATTCTCTTTGATGATGTGCTTTATTTATCTTGGTTTTGGGCAGTTTTGCTCCTCTTGACTTGTATTAAATTTGTACAGTGCTTGTGAGGCTTAAACCTTGCAAAGTACATGTCAAAACTTCAGGACTATTATGTGATCTCCTTGATCTCTCAAACGCTTCTCTACTTGCCATCTTTTCTAATACTCAAAATTATTTCAATCAAAGGTAAAAGTATAAAACGACTACTAGATGGATTACAGAAGATCAAAACCAGACTACTGTTTCTGATATGATGCTTAGGAGGAAAGGACATCTATTTCTAACCTATAGGACAAGTTCTTATTTTGAACATTGAGGATGGCATACTAAATAATTACAAAATTTCTCATAAGAATTGAGGATGGCATCCCACAAGTCGGGTGCTCTACATGGCAAATGTTTATTCTGGAAACAAAAAAGAAATAAAAAAATGATGAAGGCTATCCACAAAACCGGGAACTCAACACCTTGTGATAGTCTTTGGTGTAGTCAGCTAGAGAAAGAAGAATAAAAAACCTGCAGAAAGATAGGCAGCTCTTAAAAAGAAGACGAGATAGAATGAAAAAGTAGGGAAAAGGAGTGGCAGGGAGAATACGAGAGAGTAAATTCGAGGTAATTAAACGAAGAGAAAGAGAAAGTTTGGGGGTATAGATAGAGGAGAGTGGGGAAGTTAAACAGAGAATAAGCCAATGAGATAAATTGATTAGAGAGAAAGTTAGAGAGAGTGAGATAGGTTGGGAGAATGAGTTAGAGATAGAGAGGAAAAGAGAGGTGTGGAGTAGAGAGCGATGGTTTAAAGATAACGAGAGATAAAGAGGGGTAAGAGAGAGAAGGATAGGAGTTATAGATGGTGGGAGAGAAAGAATTAGAGAGAGGGAAAGAGGTAGAAAGGTAGAGTGTAACTTGGAGTGAGATTTCCAAAAAAGAGAAGATTCGGAAATGACATAAACTCAGCAAAAATACAAGCAGAAGTTCAGAGGCTTCTTCCAGTAATGCTTGTGGCTCCTCCCTTACCAGCCCTATAGTGTGTGTGCCCTATAGGACAAGTTGAAAGTCATTGGGAAATCAGTAGATTTTATGTGCTATGGCATGAAATGATGACCAGCGATGGGGAGATGGTTGAATCCACCGTTGAGGTTCTCTCCTTCTCTGGTAGGTCTAACCCTCTCTCTCTTCATCTCCATCTCTTCATTTCATTGGCCAGTGCCAACCGATCAGAATTAACATATTCCACTGGATTATATTATATTTGTGAATGTTTCAATCTTGCTGGGGGCATTCTCATGCTGGCCCCTTAGTGATGGATGGAACTGTGTTGCCCAAACAGAATAGACCAGAATAAAAAAAAATTTGTGTCGTGATATTGACTAGGACTTAGTGCAGCATTGTCGGATTCACTTCACTTTGGTTATACCCAAACATAAAAAAATTTGGCTTTACTTTGGCCCTATCGACCGAAGTCTTTGGTTTGGGCCTCCAAACCAAAGTGAAGAGAAGCACATGCTGGCATTACGTGATATTTTAAAAATATGAGAAATTTATTGAAAACTTGATAGAAATGGCAAAATTTTTAAAATACTGGATATTTATATTGGAATATCCAAAAATGTTTCAGGAATAACTTATAAATATCGTTGTTATTGTTGTTGTTATTATTAAGAATAATATTATTAACATTATTTTTAGTGTCTCTGATCGACTCTCGCTTCAAAGATGTACTATTATTTAGTAATGTGAAGATGTTAGATCATGATTATTTGGAGACTTATGATGACGTTTTTAACTTAACAGTATATGCTTGCATGTACTGCCAATGTCTTTTGCTTACGAATCACCGGCCAATAAATAATGTGTTTGTGTCCAGATTTTTGGAATGGCAGAGAAGGAAATGGAATACAGGGTAGATCTGTTCAACCGGTAGGCTATCTTTATTATGGGTGTTCTGCTAATGCGTTGGAGATTTTTTTTATTCGTTAGCATTGACATCCCTTGTAGTATTATATGTTCCACATCATTGGAAGTCTTTACCACCATAGCTATATAATGAAAGGTTATATATACTGGAATTTTTCATCATTTATTTAGGGAGGGAAGGAGAGAGATCTGTTTGTGTAGTGTGTTCATGTTTGTGATCATGTGTATCTTTTGAGAGAGAGAGAGAGAGAGAGAGAGCAATCCGTGTGTGTAGTATGTTCATGTTTCTGATCATGTGTATTTTCTGAAAGAAAATAATGTATTATTTTGGATGTTTTGGGGGGATTTTGTTTTTATCTTCTGTTTTTGTTACTTGGAGGCCATGAACACCTTTCATACCTTTTACAATACTTATCTTCTTTTATCACTTTTCTTACTTTTATAGTGCATTTTTGGGCTGATGCAACACCTTACATGAGATTCAGGTACAAATTTACAAAAAATGTGAAATTGAGAGCATCTGAACAGGCTTGGATGTTCCTCTCATGTAACTGTCTTACATAATGCTCATTGAACATCTGTTTACTGTGTCTGCATTGGGTCTGAATTTGATGTGAAATGCTAATGGGATCAATGCAATCCACCACTCTTACAGAAGTTTGGAAAACTTCTACTCATAGAACGTTAATAACTTAATTAGTTTCTCCACTGGCTACTATGCCCATCATAGAGTATTATTTTCCAGGCAATGTCCAGAATTACCTTTTTTTCAAAGTGAAGTTCCCCCTACACATGGAATTTCTATACATACCATAGCTTAACTTAAATTCTGATATTTTCAAAATTTAAAGTAAACTGGACTACTGACCTATTACCTTATTATATGTTTGAATAAGTTAATTTGTTAACTTCTAAAATTGGTGTTTTCCTAAATCTCAATCCCATTATTTCACTGCTTGACTTGAATATACTGTAGAATGTTGTTTTGGTTTCGTCTGCAAAATATGTGACATTATTTGATAAATACCTTGTTACATCAATGGCTATTTCCGTTTTACTGATGAGATTCTTTTGGGGGGATCCCCATCTGAACCATGTTTTTGCTAATCCCACCCAAAACATTTGTGAGATGTGCTCGCTAGAATTCCACATACATACTGGGTGCATATGGGCATATGGCAAATACATGGGCACAAATTGCAATCCCCTTGTTTTTCTTTTTTTGATTGGTAAATGGCAATCACGCTGTTGTTCCCCTTGCTTGTTTCATTGATTATTAAGGCCACTTCATAATTGTTATATATAAATAATCTGATAGTTCTTTTTTCCGTACTGTTTGTATTTATGTTCTAATGGTTCCTATGTGATGTTTACCCACAGGATCAAATTGTACATCGGGTCCCATAGGCTTCACACATAGTTAGGGGGGTTTTTATTTGATCTGAAACTTTTCAAATCATATTTGGTTCACCTTTTGATCAATTTCCAAAAGATAAAAACGAATTACACTATACAACTTGTTCGTATTTGTTATGTTGAAATCATAGACAAGCACTTCCACTAGATGGGAGAAAACACATAGTGAGGGATCCTGAAATTCTTATGCTTCGTTTGTATTTGTTACATTTCATTCCTTGCCTACAACAGGCGTGACAGCCGTACTTCATCTAGGATCAATTTTATTTTTGATTACATCCATTTTAAGTACTATCGGTGTCGGAATCAGTTATTATTATTATCTTTTTTTGCTAACATGCTGAGGAATGTTGTTCCACCACGAAAAGAACTTTTATAGGTCTGATGATCTGATCTTCTTTTCTTGGTCACTGCAGGCTTACCCAGACTTGTTTCCACAAATGTATTGAGAAGAGGTATGGTTATATGGTTATTTCTGTTTTGAAGAATCTTTCTTCTTTATATCTATTATACAATTCAAGCATTTGGCTTAATGTGTTACGCCATTTTATATTTTATAGGCATTACTGCCATTTCGGCATGCCGAGTTGAGTTTCCATCTGCATGACATCATGGTTGTTAGAATGATTGAAGCAATCTTATGAATAAAATTGTATAAAAAACCTGTGATGGTTTTCTTTCTCAGGTACAAGGACTCTGAGCTGAATATGGGTGAGAATAGTTGCATTGACCGATGTGTCTCAAAGTATTGGCAGGTATTGTGTATTTTCAGTTTGCTTGTAAGCCTTGTCTTATATCAATCTTTTGGCTGGAGTAAATACTCATAATCAAATAGCTAAAAGAACATTTAGCTGCCTTCTAGCTGAAGGAATTACTCAAATTAATATCATTTGACTTCTATTAGCTGCAGATTAGCTTCAATATTTACTGGTTGTCAATGTTTGTGAAAATCAAAAAAAAATTTGTTGGAGAATCAAGTATGAATAAAATCAAGGGAAATTTACATTGCACTGCCCCACACTCTTTCCCCACACCGCCAACAATAATAATCATCATCAGAGTCTTTTCCGAACTATTTGGGGTAGGCTACACGAATTCTAGTCCGCTATTCTGCTCAATCAAAGTCATACCCTCAACGAGGCCATAAGTCCCTATTTCTTTTTCATTACTTTTAACTATGCCCTTTTGGGCCTACCTCATGCCCTTTTGTAAGCCTCCACTAGAACCAACTCGCACCTCCTAACAGGTGTTGTACTATGTTTGCGCTATATGGGGTCAGCCCACCTCAGTCTATTTTCTCTCATCATAGTGCCTATTGGAGTCATGCCTAAGTTATCATGAATGTATTCATTTTGAATCCTATCCCTTCTTGTCTTACCACTCATTGACTCCAACATCCTCATCTCAGCTGCATTTATCCTATTGTTGTGTTGTTTCTTGACAGCCCAACATTCTGTCTCATAAAGCAAAACTGGTCTCACAGTTGTCCAACAGAACTTCCCTTTGAGCTTCATTTGTATGTGCCAATCACATAAAACTCCAGTTGCATATCTTCAATTCACATAACCAACTTTAATTCTATGTGCGACGTCTTCCTCAATCTCTCTATTTTCCTAGACTATCAACCCAAGATATCAAAAGTGCGTTTTTCTTAGTATTTTTTGATCGTCAATATTAACTACTTTCTTGTCTCTACTCTTATTATAATTAAAACTTACATTCCATATACCCTTAGTCCTGCTAATTTTTAAATTCTAGAGCATCCCTCCAAAGTTCTAACTTTGTGTTGATGCCGGTTTGGGTCTCATTGATCAAAAACTATGTCGTACGCGAACAACATACACATGTTAACTCATCTTGTAAGTGCCTAGTTAAGTCGTCACAAAGAAGTATGGGCTCAACACTGACCTCTGATATAAATCTATTGTCACTGAAAAGTCACTTGTGTCTCTACTAGTTGTTCACATACTAGTTAGCGCTCCCTCATATATCTATTTCACCAAGTCGATATAGTATTTAGAGACTTTTTTTTTTTTTAACACCCACCAAATTCAATCTCGAGCTACTATATAATAAGCTTTCTCTATATCAATAAAGATGTGGAAGTATTTTTCCGTCGCCCTAAACTGCTCAATCAGTTGGTTAAGTAGGAAAATAGCCTCAATTGTTGACCTCCCTACATAAAACTGAATTGGTTTTCTGATACATTCGTTTCATGCTTTAGTTGTTTTTCAATTACTCTCTCCCATAGCTTTATAGTGTGGCTCATAAGTTTGATCCCTCGATAATTTATAAATTCTGTATATCTCCTTTGTTCTTGTAAATGGGTACCACAATACTTTTTTTCCATTCGTCTGACATTTTCTTTGTTCTCAACAACTTGTTGAACAGCTTGGTCAGCCAATCAATGCAAATCTCCTCCATGCACTTCCAAACTTCTATCGGAATATCATCTGGTCCTAAAGTATTTCTTATCGCCGTCCTCTTCAAAGCTTTTTTTCACTTCTGATATCCTAGTCCTACGAATGTATCTACGACCTCCGCCCTCATTTATTCCAACAATTCCTTCTACAATTTTTCCCATTATGTTCGTTATTTAATAATTTTTTTAAATAAGCTCTCCACCTTAAATAACTTTTTAAAATAAGCTCTCCATCTTTCATTGACCTCTTCATCCTTCTTCAAGACCCTTTGATTCTTACCTTAATACATTTAATATGGTCTAGATCCATACACTTCTTCTCTAATAATAATAATTACTAAATAGAAAATAAAAAGTGTAAAAAATGAAGTGTCAAAAAAATACCTCACCTAAGACAGCTACTGGTGGCCCCCAAGAAATACCTCACCTAAGAAAGCTACTGGTGGCCCCCAACTTTCCTAAAAGTCCTGCATTTAACATTCTTTTGATATGCGTCTGCTGGATCACATTAGAAAGGTGTTGGATGTTTCATGTCGCTTAGGTGTGAGGTGTATTTGGCACCTTATTTTGGTGGAGGGCGTGCTATGTAATTTCCTTAAAATCTATAATGAAATATCTCCCTATGCTGTAGTCTTTGGGCCTGTTTGTATGGTCGCCTGAATGATATCTATCTTACAACAATTCTAGATTACAGGAAAAACAAGTTTTGTTCTTTTTCTTTCTTTTTTCTTTCTTCCTCCTGTTATTTTTTAGCCACTGTCTGGCTGCGTTTTTATCAAAACCTGATTCTCAAAATGGTATGAAAACAAACGTGTTAAGAAAATGTTACCGCACAAGCAAGGTAGAAAAATAGCACAGTTCCCATTTAGGGCTCAATCAAGCAGGATCTTGTATATCAGAAATATCTTATGACAATAGTGTCATATGTCCAAGATAGGCACAAATGGGTAAATTATATTTCCCATGCACTTTGGCCTTGAAGATGCCTGTTAGTGATTGGCTGTCACTGATCTTGTACTTCAGTATCACCTTAAGGAGAGCATACTTAGTGATGATAAACCAACTATCGATTCTCTTGTGCATCCTACTTTTATCACATCAGCACTCTCCCTGTAGGCTCACATGCACATGCGTGCACACATATCCATAGTTATACATGTGTAGACACACATATTTATGGTTATACATATATATTTAACCACAGGCATTTTTACACAAATAAATACATAAGCTCTCAGACATACACATCCCTCATCCCGTTGTCTGTGTGCACGTGCTTACGCGCACAAATATTTGGGTATTGTACTTATTTGTTACTGGCGATTGGGGCTTATTCTCATTCGCCTGTTGTACTTTTGTCTGGGAAAAATTGGTCTAAAATCAAATTGCCGTTCATTTCCCGTTAAGAGAAACATTAGAAAGGCAAAGTATGGTAGAGAGCAATATAGGAATGGTAAATAAGATGAACATGAATTATTAGTTATCCTATCAGGAAGATGGATCCCACAACAATTTATGAATTTATGTTGTTATGCTCTTGTGCGTTCGTGCGTGTGTAGAGAGAGAGAGAGAGAGAGAGAGCATTGTGATTTTTTGCAGAGAGAGAGAGAGCATTGATGTGATTATTTGCCCAGAGAGAGAGTGAGCATTGTGATTTTTTGCCATCTTTGCAACTTGTTGGGAAGGCCATTATGGGCCAAACTAAACCTCGGTTGCATACATTTTCAGGTAACCAATTTGATAGGACAGCTGCTTGGTTCAAACAAGCCACCACTGTGAGCAAACCGTTGGTAGTTATGTCTTCTATGTTTCTCAGTATTAAAAAAGGCGCCCAAAGAACTGTAAAGAAAGCTGATTCAGTTTTTTTTGTTGGGCGTACCTGACCAATACAACCAGGTGAACGTTTTTGAGTTTTCATGTATCGGTTTATTTTCCGCCCTTTTTGTTTATTCTTAATATGCGGCTTGCAATAGCCCAGATCTTTGTGAAAGTCCACCACACAGGAAAAGGCGTATTACTTTCTAATTTTTAGCAACTCTTCTTCTTTCCGTTCATTACGGATGAGAATCAATGTTTAGATGGAATGAGAATTTAACTTGTGATTTTACCTATCAATGGCTAATATCCAAAGTAAAAAATATGTCAAATTTGACTGCTGATCCATTCATAGAAGCCAATAAATAATTGACCTAAGAATTGATGCTTCAATTAAATGTGTGAATTTAATCTATAGTTTTAACAAATCATGGTTACTTATCTATTGAACAAAAACCGTACAATAAGTTCACTAACCAAGAACATGTGCGTGGATTAGTACTAAAGCGAATAAAGGACAGTAAAACTAAAAAATGTTCGTTGAAATCGTTCATTTTATGTGCAAAAAGGGGTTTGAGAGTTAATAGGAGTTGCACTATTAATCACTGATCTCATTTTGGAAAAGTACGTAATGAGTGGTCATAAGTGAACATTTCATGTGAAATTGGGTTGTTGCATTGATTCCACTGAACAAAGTTCAAACATCAAAAAATTTTCTCTAACTTTGTGACATACTCAAGTTATGAGATGAGATTTTACATCGGATGGTTATAAGTAATCAAGTTATTGTGATCTCTTTATAGTAAAGGTAAATGGTTTCATTGTATACAATCTTTTTCCTGATAAAACGGGATGAATGCACACATAGGTAGGTGTATATGTGAAAGACTTTTGGGCATCATGGAAGAGACCGTTGCCCCCGCTTTCGTGAAATATGGAAGCCGCTCCTTCTATCCTCTTAGCACATAAGGGGCGGCTTGTAAAAACATACCCCATTTGATTTCAAATTTAAACCCCATTGGAGCAGCACTTCCATCTTGCGGCTTCCATCGGAATGTAACAAATGTGGGAGGGTATTTGGTGGAACATACATCTCCCCACTCGACCACACAGCAAAGAATCCCTACGTGTATGCTGTAAATCTACATATTCACAGCATGGGAAAGCTTTCTTTTTTAAGATATGTATGGGCACCCTATTCTATATCCATGAATTTGCAGATTTTGTATGGAGCGGTTCTTAATATCCATGAATTTGCAGATTTTGTATGGAGCAGTTCTTAGGGCCATTGCTTGACAACCTTGCCAGAAAACGCAATTCTCGCCCAAGTGTATCATCTGGCTGATTACGTACTTAAAAATCTATTTTTGCTTGACTATAGAGTTTAAAGCTTGAAAATAGTGTAAAATTTGGCAGATTTTCAACCACATGGATAGTTTTGAAACAAATAAGGTTTGCCAAAAGACATTCTTCTCCCTCGGGAGTAGCTGTCCCTTTACTCCATCAAGTAAAACCTCACTTAGATTTAGTTTTAGGACCCCCACATTTTGGGGATATAACCTCTTTAACAAAGATTAATCTCAATAAAAAATTTCCTAATTGCACTCTCTAAGTATGTGAAAAAAAAATGCCTCAAGATTTAATAAAAACAGGTTAATTTTTAGAGTGAGATCGAAAATTCAAATTTGATTTTTTTTTTTTTTTTTTTTTTTTGAAGAATAATCATCTAATGATTACTAAAAGCAGTTACTAAAATTTCAGATTGAAAAAATTCTCCCAAGTAGGTCATCTAATCGAGGAAGTAGAAGTAAACTATCCTTCCGCTATCATAATACATGATCATGAGTTTTTAATGTTTGATATCGGTTTCCTTTTCAAATAGATGATCGTCAAAGATCAATCCGCAAGTTCTTTTTTTTTTTCTTGGGGCTAGAATTGTACTCTCTTACAAAATATGAGTGCTGCTTTATATCCACAAATGGAAAAAATAACTGAAATTTCCAAACCGAATTTGTAGACCACCAATAACGAATGCGGTCAATAACGATCTTACATCCACGAACCAATTCTAGCTTCCTTAATCATGTTTCATTTATGGAGAAGTGCTTTACGCATGGGGGAACGCATAACCACATTTGTGTCTCCCAAAGCATCACACATGAATGTAAAGTACTGGTCCACAAAAATCTAACAGTATCATATTTTTCTCAAATTTTTTAAAAATATATATATCATTTTTAGTTTTTAAGATTTATTTATTTTACATATTAACGATCTTAATGATCTCCATATTAAAAATATGTGACTAGTCCAAAAGCCATCTCAAAAATAGACTAGGACACATCCACATATGTGCTCTCAAAAATAGACTAGGACACATCCACATATGTGCCCTAGGACTCGTAAAAAATACCTCCATTTATAGATGAAAAGCTATCATTTGAAGGTCCCTCTCTTCAATTAAAATTAAATTTGAAGACCACCAAGAAGAGACCAACGTTTATGTTCCCTACAAGGTCCAAATTTTAGCTTGCTGAAGTGTGTTTCATTTTACATGAGAAGGTATCACTTGAAGTTGTCCTCCTTCAATTAGTTCTTTAAAGAAACAGAGCTAACTAATAGGTGCTGCGTGCCTTCCGGGGAGTAGCCAGGCCAATAGCAAGATAGCTTAGTGTGTAGCTTCTCTTTTCTCTTCTTCCTCGGTTTCAGTGGTCGGTGAGGGTAGGAAGGATGCTACTTGTGTTGTACTGGCAGCATTCGAAAGCAGGTGTATGGATGATGTTTACTTCATCAACCTTGCATGAGTGTACTCTTTTTTTTTCCGGTCAGATTCAGTTCCCATTGAATTGATCCAGCTAAAGCTCAGGAAAGTCCAAATTCGGGCTCTCCTGAATTGGGGTTGGGATATGGGTTTCCTTTGCCCTCTCATTCTGATGATAGATGGAACAAATAAATTTCCTAAAGGCTCACTTAAAACCGCTTTATGAGTGAGCGCTAAACTCACTTCAAACCTGTCTAGAATACAGGAATCTGTGCCGGCTAAGGGACAATCGACTTCCCCCAGGTCCAAATAGGGGGACATCAGAATCAGACTGGGGAGTTCTAATAAGAAAAACAATTTTTCCCATGACACAAGTGGTTCTAGGGTTTTTCGCCCAAGATCACCAAGCTCCCGGATCCAGTCCAACTAGGTTGGAGTCCCTGAATCAGACATGCTATTTCTTGAACAATTCTTAAAGCGGCTCAAATAGAAAATTCATGACTTCCCGAGAAAATAAACTGGCCAACTCTCGATTGAAAATAGGGAGGAAATACGGAATTAGTGAAACCTCTGGTCTTTTAACCCACAGCCAACAAACAGAAAATGATGGGCAAGACTTGGACGTCAAAAGAGAGAGAGAGCTCCAAAATCCTCCTCCCACAGATAGTTTAATCAACATTATCACTCAATCACAAATGCATCATTCAACAATCCAAGCACACCCCAATCCTACCCATAAACTTAACAGGCCAAGTAAATCACTCACCACCCCTCGAAGAACCACCACCGTTGGATTAAATGATGATAGGGAACCACAGAAGTAGCCAAAAAAGCCAAAAGGAAAAAAAAAAGAAAAAAAAAAAAAAGGAAAACAAAAAAGATCATCCTGCAAATACTTTAAAGGGAAGAAAATTGAGAAACGAATACACAAGGAAATACAGAGAAGAAATAGAGAATTATACAATTGTGTTTCTACTGTTCTTTTTGGCCTCGAGAGCTGCACCATCCTTTAGGGTATCTTGTGCATCAGAGTCCATACCGAGGCTGAAGAGAGCAGCTGCTTGGAGATAGAAGGCAGTGGGCCACTCTGGAGAGACCACTTGGGCCTGCATGGCATCACCTAGGGCTTCCTGTGGCATGTCACTCATGAGGTACGATAGACAGCGTCGAGCAAAGATTGTCGGTGAAACCATGGTCCCGACATCAATGAACTGCAATAGAACCACAATCACAGAGCAGTATGGCCATTTATACAAATAAACTACAGTAAACTAAGGAAGAAAGAATGATAATGCATTATAAGACATAACTATGCACATGTAGTACAAGTTCAGAATTCTTGCACAGAGGGAATGGAAAAAGAAAGCAACACTGGAAACTCTGGAAACCACACGTCAAATCAATGCTTGAAATCTTGAAAATGCTGGTTATCAGGTGGTCAATTTCATCCCCACCAAAATATCCAAGCACTGGTACAAAGAGTCACCCTATATATCTTGTGCAAACGAAATTTTGGTTGTTGCTAATTTCCATAATATTTTGTCTAATCCGATGGCTGGCAACCTATATAGTTTCTGTGCTTGGAAAACACAATTTAGGTACTCCAAAGTTTTAGGGACTACCATAAAATTTTGTAAAAGTTACAAGCAACCAAGGAGTTCTGGAAAATGCCACATCAATCACCTAAGGCGATGACTTACTATAGTAAGCTCACAATAGAATGATTTTACAGAAAACACTCCATGATTTAGACTCCCAAACCCAGGTATGCATGAGCTCAGAAAGTACGCAGATGTCCTAAGACATGTGCAGGCAAATCCCACAAACTCCTAAATAAATATATAGCATGTATACTATGTTCTATGCACACAAAGAGCACACTAGCTCCCCTGGGCAAAAGACCCACTTACGAGGATTTTTTCGATCTTACAGCTAGATATGGGCCCAGCATCCCGGCCCAGCCAAGCCCTGAATAAGTATGGTTTGGACCAAAAATTGTGGCCCGAGCAGCAGTTGAGCCTAGACCTGGGCCACGATAGGGCTGGTGGCCTGACCCTTTATTTTCTCCCTTTTTACCCTAGGTTTATTATGCCCAGCCCAGCCCGGCCTGCGCTAGGCACATGGCCTCTTCGCCCTAGGCTGGCTAAGGCGGACCCAGGCCAGCCCTATAGGGACCAGGGCCACGCTAGCCCAGCCCAGTCCCAGCCCGTTGCCAGGCCTTCTTGATCTGAAAATTAGGGATCCATTGTAGAGTCACCAAATGACTGTTTTTCAAAAAATAAGAAAAAGGATTTCGCATTCCTAAACACCTAGATCTGATGGCCCAAAAGTTGGATTGTCCCTGTTCAATACTAGGATGTGATTTTTTTCAGGCAGACACAATATTTGTACTCAACTTTTACATGACTCTTTTCAAGCAGAGAAAATATGCATCGTGCTCCTGTGGGAGCACGAAATCTTCTCTGATAAATAAATAATGCCACACACTTGAGATTCTCAAAAAAGCACGAGTCCAAATCACTTAATCTAATGAAGTTGAACTTAGTTATTAAGTATATCATGAGAACAAGCCGGTAAACAAATTTAAACAAATTACAATCATTCACATGCCTCTCAAAAAATAAAAATGAACCTATAGATTGTTTTGTAGTGAAGGATTGAACCTGGGTATAGCAATCTATTGCCGTTCCAAACTCTTTGCTTCTGAAAGCAGCATCTCCTTGTTTCTTAGAATTTAATGTTTCCTGCATTTGGTTTGTCCACATTTGAAATGACAACTGCAAAACAAACGTGACAGAATGAACTACAATAAAAACAGACTATCATCAAACCATAGAATCCTGAAGTGTATCATAAATCTGAAATCAAAGGTATCCATGAATCTTCAATTTCACTAGGAAGCCTGGGAGTACATTACACATTTTGTGCCAATCACTCATGACACCTGCACCCAACAGTATATACCCATTTCCTCAGCAATCGCATACAAATATGGTATCATCTCTTCTTTTTTTTTCTAAATTTTGGTATGATGATTAAAATCATCTCCCAGTGTACATGTAATTCATATCAATTATTAAACCTTTTGGTTGATTAAACTATTAAAAAGTCCTGAAGGTTACTTATTGTTTTAGAGAGACAAAGCATGCAAAAGAAATATAGTTGTTTAAAAACTGTAAGAGGAATAACACAACATTCAGAAATTGAATGCCATTCTCATTAAAATCTTGGGGAGGCTCTCGATGGATGCAACAAAATGGCTTAGAAAGGCTCCAATTGTGTAATGATGATGGTAGATTTCTCTCCTAATCTCCATTATATGATGCTTAACATGGATACAGATTTATGAAAAGACACTTATTTGTGTAAGTCAAAACAAAAAAAAAGACACAGTTAGAGGAGACAAGTAGACTTCTGCAATGAAAGAAGCATAACCAGAATTCTAACCTCATTTGCTATTCCTTCATCATCCTTGTACCCAACCTTGTCCAATATCTCATGTATGGCGGTGAGATCAACTCTTGAGCAAGCTTCTCCAAGTGGAGACAGGGACAATGCCTGCAATGGAGATGCAACCCCATTTGGCAAACCCATCAAAACATAGGATGGAACCTACAAGTGAAAAGGACGGGCGTTAATGCTTCACACTTTTTGGCTAAAATCAAATATGATGTAATTTACACTTTTCAACAACCGAAAATGCCACCTTCTAATCAAACCATAACACTTTGGAAATAAAAGCATCCCAATTGACTGAAAATTTCCAACGTTCTTTTTCTTTATGCATGCAAATGCAGCGCAAATATAGAATAAAAAACTATTATGGCCTTGTACCAAGCATGCTCAAAGTCTCATGTCCATATACGCAACAAAACTAAACACAATATCACCATGTTTCATTTCTAGTGGCCAGATTCGACTTGTCTACACCAGACCAAGATGAGACTACATGCACCTCACAGAAACAGGTCCAACCGAAAAACAGAAGTATTGAACAACAAGTAGGGAGGAAAAGCAAGAAACACGATGACATGCAGAAAATGTTTCAAGAATTCATTGTAGGCAGATTAAGAAGAGATGATTAAAAGATGAAATGTTTGTTTTCCTAAGCATTACCCAGAGTTCTTGGGCGAATAATGCAATTTCCAAGGAAAAAAATGCTGATAATTTATATTAGAGAAGTTAGGTGTTGGTGCACAGCTGTCTGAGGAAAATGTAGCACATCTACTTCTTGTTGCTTCAAACTTTTTAATGGGTAATCTGGGCGAAAAATAATCAACATCTTGTTATGATTGTTCTAGTATCCTTTCTTTTCTTGTTTTTTTTTCTTTACCTCGGTTTCCTTTTGAAGGCAAGCCAGAGAAGCAACTAGTGATTTTACATTTGGCCTCTCACGGGCTTCATGCTGCAAACATCGTGAAGCTAAACGAACTAACTCAGTTCCATCATCATTTGAGAAATGGCCTTCCAGACAAGAGTCCATCAGCATCAGAAAATTTCTTCCCCGTATCAGGTCAAGAGCCTGTAAATAATATGCAAGTTGCCATCCTTACATTCAGAGCAAAAAAACAGAACAAATGTTCTTCATAACTTCACATGACTAGTAAATAGTGCATACAAAAGGGAAACCTAGAGTGAAACAACTAAAGGTACCGTGTAGAAAATGCATGTCACTAAATTGGAAAATTTTGCAGATACGGACAAATATTCATCAACTTTATAAAGAAGACAACACAGGTGCTTGAAATTTACTAAATGTAATTATCCGAATGGTTGATGGAACAAAAACATTCACAATTTTACTGAAATTAAATTAATACAATATAATTATCAACACGGGTGAGCCATCTTAGTGCTTATTTAGGGATTTTTGTATGGTAAGTTCTCATTGAAGGATAAAGTACTAAAAACACAATTTGCTATCACACTAATAAAACTAGAAGCTTTCTATGTGCTTTTTATAGTGAACTTTTCATTTAACACTAAAAGAGTATATATCAAGTTGCAGTACATGCAGACATAAATGCATAGATGTAAGGAAAAATTAGAGGGTGTATATCACAAGTAATGAACTAGCGGATAGCCATCCCCAAGAAACAGAATATCTCTACTCATGGCCTGTCTTTCACAGGAATTGGCATCCATGTTAGCCTCTACACGGACATGGTCAAAGGCGACCCTGACACTTACTAATAGCTAAAAACCCAGCCATATAATCTACACTCCCAATGGAGACATCTTTCAATGAGGCAATCTAATAACATTAGGTGAGTTTGCTCCCTTGCCAAGGACCATAAAGGACAATAAGAACATTCTAGATTGAAAGACCTCCACTCTACACATTTATTGAATTGCACTTCTTAGCAGGGCCTAAAAACAGTAACAAACTCCTGCAAGGCATCCCCTAAGGATCACTCAGCAACACTGGCACCAGGGAGAGAAACTAACAGAAGCAAGCTTGAATTCCATTTTAAAGACATAACCGATCATGTAGCAGTTCTAATTCCGCTCTTTTTTGTTTTTTAATAATAAGTAGAGACCAAGTAGGCTTGTTCTGCTGATTCTTCATTATTTGCATGAAAACAAGTTTGCATCAGCATAGTGGTAAATAATCTCATCTGATACAATTGGGATTGATGACCAAAGTTCAAAAAATTTGAAACATTTAAGTTGATAAATGAAAAATATTACTGATTGTTAGCAGATGAAGCAGATCCATTGTCTACCAATAATGCTCAATTTTGCAAAAGCAACAAACCAACCATACTCCCTGACTAAGCCAAGAAAGACTTGTAGATTGGAAACAATTAAGTATAAAATAGGGTGAATCCATTGATTATGAAACTCCAGGTATGGCTCAGACCAAAGTCAGTTCATAAAGCACAAATATGATGGAAATCAAAGAATTCTTGGCATATCTCTCACTATCAAATAAAGACAGAACTTAGAGCACATTTCCTTCACATATTAAAGAATTAAAAAAAAAAAGAAAAATCAGAACTTACATGGCTAGGAGGGATATGTTTTCCACTTAAAATATCAAGCAAGAGGGTGCCAAAGCTGTAGATTACACTTTCTGCTGTTACTCTTCCTGGCAACAGAAACAAAAAAAGAATCACCGCAAGTTTAAGCTTATGTGCAAGAATATTGACCAGCTCATGAATAATTAAATCCAGAAACAAGCATACACCACAAACAGCCTAGGGTCTAAAAAAAGCTACTTTCTTGGAAAAGGCACAAGTCATATCACCATTACCTCCAAACAAACATAACCCACAAATAGTGACAAAACAAATAGAAGAACGGTCAGATCAATTTAAACTTTAAAGTTTCTCAAAGGGCATGAATCAGAAATATAACGTATTAGTTTAACAATATTGACAAATCTCATTCCGAGAATTTCGCCTGATATTCTTTAAAAATTAATTTTTTCAAACAAAACAACAACCCCAGAGAACATCAAACAAACTCTCTCTCTCTCTCTCTCTCTCTCTCCATTTGAGGAAAGAGAAAATGGAATTAGATTAAGGCCTTAGGGAGATTGTAGACTGCCTCATCAAATTACAAGATGAACAATGTTTGCTACAAAAAGAAAATGATTTGAATGTTTACAGGTTCAGATCTAGCCACCCATTAAATGAACAGAGCGTGCATCGACTGAATTCTAAAAACCACCTTCTAGGGTTTTTCTTAATTTCTTTTATGACCCTCATTGCCAAGTACAAAAGTGTGTGCAAAATTTGGGGCCAAACAAATGCCCCTACGGCCCCAAAAAAATGAGAAGGGTGGAAACTAATAGAGGTCTGCCTCCTCATTATCAGAACAATTAAAGGGAAGTCCCTTAATTGCCAAGAAACTATGAAGACCCAATTTATCAATGATATCAATCCAGACACATGCACAAAAATGACTGCCAAAACAAAGCTTTATACATACTAAGTCACCAAGCGACTGTTCATTTCAATATAAGTCACTAGCAATTTCTTTGCAGCAAAATACATGTTAGTCAATGATGACCTTATAGTAAATAATCTTCAGTATACACATCTATTATAAGAATTTATAGAACTCAGATTCACTGCTCTAAATATAGTGTACCAGTTCTCATGTACTCTGGGGGGGTGAAAGCCAAATTTGTACTGTAACTTTTGCCATCTCTACTGTTCTTCATAAGACCAAAGCAAGAGAGCCTAGGGTTGCCATCCTGTCAAAAACTTATCCCCCATAAGAAACTATGAAGACAAAGCAAGAACAATAAAAAAAATGGAATGATGACAATGAAAAGTGCACCTGGTCAAATAAGATTCTGTAAGCATTTAAGTCATGATATAGAGCCCTCCCTTTACTGCTACAATATTCCAGAGCTTGTGCTAAATGAAGAGAAACTCTCAACCTCATTGCCCATTTCATAGGCTGCACCTCCCCTGAATCATTCAAATGCCAGCCAACTAACATAAGAACCCAAACACAATTGTAGTCAACATTTTTCAGCAATTATCAAGAAGAGCATAAAACCAAAACTGGTGTGTCATGACAAACAATCACACGACAGTGTTCAAATGTTTTTCAATACGGCAACATAATAAGCTTAACAATTATCAGAGATTCATTGACATGGATACAATAAACCATGTCATAATGGTATCATGAACACCATGGCAATCACTATTCCCGATGAGAAACCCAAATGATTCAGAAGGGATGTTTGCCATATCAAAATATTGGAAAGGGGTACAATTTATCATAGGTGAATATTTTTGTAAATGCAATGTAGGTTTGTGCTTCTTTTGAATGGGGTTTGTACTTCATATGACTGGTCTTTTTCAGAAACAAAAGGTGAAACCCTACAAGTATTACAATTACAAAGGGAGAAAGATAGAGCATTTCCTTTTGAAGGAAGCTTAACCTTCTCTTCATCAGAAATTGAATCATCAAAGCATCAACATATCCCAAATTAGCACAATAAATTGGGTAGTGAAAGCATCATTTTGAATAAATTTAGAACTCACAATGAAAAAGGTGCTTTGCGAGGGTATCATTGGGCATATACTCAGCCACAAGCAATCTCTCGTCACCTTCACAACAACAACCAATAAGATTCGCCAACCTTTCATTGCGAAGCTGGCCAACAGACCTTGCCTCCTCCTGCAATTCTTATAAACCTAGTGAGTCAAACGAGCATGTAAATTTACTAATTCAAAAAACCACAAGGAGATAAAATATGCAGATGGTGTAAAAGTATATTATTCATCAACTTCATGTGAAAATTTTCTTTATAGTTCCTTTTATGAGGTATGTTTTCCATGATATAAAACAAACTGGATAATGATCACGTACATTGGTCTTCCATTGAATCTCATCCAAAAACTCTGAAAAAATTCTATACATGCTATTTATTCTCAATAATATATGCACATAAAACTAGGAGTTTTGAAGTGCTATAATTCCTTCATTAGAAGAAGTGAATCCAGAAAAACATAGTTGAAAGACGTCTGCCAGAAATTCAGCAATGGGATAACTAGTTGCGGAAAACATACCCCACCAAAACAGATCCATGAATTATGGATCAATGGTTCCAATATTCAATTTATAATAGTTTGATATACAACTTTAGCATCCAATAGCTTCACCAAGCAATTCAAATTTAATTATATTCAGATTCAACTTCAACATACATTTGACTGCAACTTCAAGTGAGGTTCAACACACAGTGGTAAGCCTTCAAGGAGTTCGAAAGCACCAACTAGTGCGCAGTAAGACTAGATTTCTTTACAAGGCATGCCCTCCGACGCTCCTTATTTCACATTCAAGTAGTTCAAAACAACCTGATTTTCACCGAAGCACCTTCTACTCAGGTTTTACGATGACAACCTAAGTTTTAGCAATGATTCACCTGGAATTCTTCCTTGTTAAGCATCAACTTCTCAATTCACAATCCTTGGTGGTTTTACTATCTAGATTTTCAATAATTATCCATTTAAAACATAATTTCTCAGATTAGCAAAGAAGCAGGGCAGAGGAAAAAAAAGATCTCGAGTTTAAGCTTTTTAGGCAAGTATATTTATTATAATTTTTTATTATTAACTGAAATATAAAATTTTTATTGTTAAATGGAATAGAAACTATATAATTTCGAGTACTTTTGAAAAGACATTTAGATAATCACAGAAGCACGACATTGAACAACAAGGGATCTCAAATTATATTGCCATTAAAGCGAAATCGACTGCACATCAGTTCACACAGTTACTAAAATAGTACCAGTAATCAATAAAAAAAAAAAGACAATTACCAAAATAATTTCATGTCTTCAAGGGAACCACAAAACCAGGAATGATCCAAGAACAAAAGTATCGGATTAAAGAGTTATGAGAAATAACAGATGGTAACAAAAGATTTGAGGGATCATCTAAAGACAACGAGAGGAAGAAAGTAATGCCTAAATCCTATCAAAAGTACTAATTGGAGGTAAGACTTACCATGAATTGGCGAGAATCAGGCCATGCCATTCTATTGAACCTTTTAATGGCGATCAGCCTATTGTTCTCCAAAGTTCCTCGATAAACAATATTAGGAGCCTTCTCTCCATGCTCTGAAACTATATTATCGGCTGAAAAACCAGAAGTTGCAGCTCTAAGCTGCTCAAATGAGTACTCACTGAAGCTAGGCAAATATTCTGAGTCATTCTTTCCACCATTTTCTGCAAAGAAAGGAAAAAAATCCACAACAGTAAGAAGAAACACACTATGATAATAAGTGAAACCCTGGTTTCTCCACAACTAAACTTGAATTGGAAGTGAAACCATGAAATAAGAACAGGAAAAAGAAGTACACTCAAAAAACTCTCAGCTCCTTCATTTGAAGCTTGGAAGTAGGAGCTACATTAAAGTAAGAACAATGACATGACGATGAACTAAACCCTAGCTCCGCATGAAAGGAGGAGTGAAGCTAGACTAGGAATCCTGACTTGTTACCTATATCAGAGGTCTCGAGCACAGCTGATTTGAGGTGCGAATGCCACCAACAAAAAGCAAATTTCGAGCACCTGCCGCCCATTATCTTGGATCTAGAGAGACAATATCAGCTGTTACACTTGCCAGTCCCACTGTACAAGCTCCAGCAAGTGTTCATGTGTTTTAGAGAGAGAAGATCAGCTGGTTCCTCAGCCAGAGCCACTGTAAAGGTCACTGCAAGTGTTCATGGATCTAGAGAGAGAGAAACCTGCATCTCTGTAAAATGAAGCTGAAAGAGTTCACGGATGTTGATCCCTGTGTTAGAAATGGGTACAAAAGAAGTGACAGGAAAGGTCACAGGTCATGGATCTCTGGATCCAATGCTTTATTTATGGTTATGTATATCAAAGCAAAACTCCCTTTCTGCTTTCTCTTTTTTATATCAGCTTTCTCTCTCTGCTTTCTCTGCGTCTTTCTCATCATTCCCCCCTTCATTCTGCCATTTTCTCTCTCTAAAATGCACACTCTCACTCACACACACTCATCATTCTTATCTCGTTTTCTTCATTGTCCCCCCTCTCTCTCTCTCTCTCTCTCTCTCTCTCTCATCATTCTCACGTTTTGTTTCTCTCTCTCTCTTCTATTTTAAAACTTTTTAATTCCTCTCTCACCCCTCCTTTTGCCGCGTTCTCAGCACTAGCCCACTCTGTGTATTTTCCCTGAATTAAGAAAGCGGTAGCGCCGATTTTTTCAGGCACCCCAAATATCTTGATTATTTTTCATAATTCCTAAAATACCCCAGTTCCAAAATACGCCTTCCCCCTGATTTCCAATTTCCATTAGGAATCGGGCCCGGGCTTGAGTGGTTAATTGACGTTAAGTGCTAGATGAATTTTGATTTTTAATTAATTAAAAATAAACTTCTAATTTTTTCATTTGAAAATACCGATAATTTTTAGGGCCAAAATATATTATACTCCCATAAAAATATATTGTCCATTTATTCCTTCATGGAAAACCTCATTTATAATTAGCTTGAACCCCAATTTTAGGGCTATAACCTCTTCAACCTATATATTAACCTCAATCAGAATTTCATTGCACTTTTTATGTCCTTGAAAAAATACTGTTTCGAAATTAAACTCAACTTTCAATTTGTTTTTCTTTTGAGAATACTCTTCTAATGATTCTTAAGTGGTTCCTGAAATTTCAAATTGAAATAATCCTCCCAAATAGGTCTTCTTACCGAGGGAGTAGAAGTAAACCATGCTTTCGAAAGAGCATAATATATGTGCTCATCTTCAAGTATTGATTTCATTTGGATTTCACGAATTTCTGGATCAAGTGAAATGCGATTAACGAATTCATGTCTATTATCTATTAAGTTTCTAATATTGTATATCATGCGGTGTGACCATTTGTATATCAACTATTTCATCTTTTAATTGTGTATTTTGATTTAATTTTAAAATACTCATCAAAATATACATAACCATGAGTTGAAATAAATAAAAACGATAAATTATAAGTTAAGTATGTTTTGATGACTTTTCTAAAATATATTTACACATAAGTGGTCACAACTCCTTACGAACGTTGACAACATAACCATGATACAACCACGTGGTTGTCACCATATTGTCAATTATGAAGCGGCGAGAGAGAGTATAAAAGGTGCAATTTTGGTGAGGCTGGCTTTATTATATTTGGTAAAGTTGTAATTTAAAATTGTATTGGAAAATACAATTTTACAATAAAAGATTTTTATGATGGCATATAAGTATATTTACTTCTAGGAATCATAAGGTGGTCACATTTAAATTTGACTATTGGATGAGAAATTAGATGGTTGTATTAATTCTAATGACCGAACTCAAACTTCAAAATAATTTTTTTTGAACTTTGTTGCTCACCCAAGCTATCAAATTTCATATCGAATGATTATAAGTAATTGTGACCTTTTTTTATCGAATGTAAATGATCTCAATGTATATAATTTCTTATTTTTTATGAAATTTGAAACTCCAAAAATTAAAAAAATCTGTTCAATTAAGAAAATAATTTATATAGAGCCTAGACAATCAAATTAGAGTCCACATCAAAAATTTTGCTAGAAAAGGTTGTGTTGATGCTCAAATATCTCAAATTGATAATCTCGACATGAAGATGCATATACATGAGAAAAAAAAAAATTTCAAGTTTGAAAATAGTGCATCTTGTGATGCATTTTGGGACCATCAATATTCAAGTTTTTATAAATTTACCGGATCTACACTATTTTTGAAGCTTTAAATTATATAATTAAATATAAAAATATATTTTAAAGCTATTACAAAGATTTCCAGTATTGAAATATACTTTATTTGGAGTGTTTAGAGCCTCGGCTCGACACAAACCGCACCCTTTTAGTTAATGGATACTTGAAAGGGGAATGCAAATGGACTCTCCGATGTCCGAGCAACGTGTCATTATGATTTTTAGAGTTTGCGATCTTTTTTCTTTCAAATCCTTCACAAGTGAGTGAGATTTGAGATGTGATTTCATAAAACCTTTGCCTGCAAACTACTTCCCAGTATTTAAATTTATCGGAGGGACACACTTCCTTCCCCACCTATTGATGAAACGACGATGGCTTTCTCAGACGCAAAAATCTATCTAGGGTTTTTATGGTTTTATGATGTAAAATACATAGAAATATATTTCTGCCATTGATTTATCTTTTTGCAGCTCTAAAAATACCCTATCTCATGATATGTGAGATACAAAAACCACCATTTTAAAATTTTAAAAATTTACTTCTCGATCACATAGAATTTAGATTATCGACGTCTGAATTTTGATCCAATATAAATGGATTTTGGAAGAGGGACGCATCGATAGAGTGGGCATTAGACCGAGACTGGGCTAAGCCCGGTCTAGCCCTAGCCCTCTTTGGGCTGGGAAAGAAAAAAAAAAAAATTTAAAAAAAGAAATGAAAAATGAAGACCGGTCCTGTCATGTCCTTGGCCTTGGCTAGGGCCCGATCCTCAAGCTCTCGTGGACCACCCCCAGCCCAGCCATCAAGTCACATTTTGTGGTTCAATTCCAAAATTATTAGGATTGTACCAAAAGGACGTGCTACCCGCCCCATTGCCACCTTTACTCACCAAAACCTTGCCCATTATGGGAAAAGGGCTTGGGTGGTGGTGTTAGAACCTCCCATGCCTTAGCTGCACATATCTTACCATTTAAAAAAAAGGTGTGGCTTGTATAAGGTGTCAATCTTTTGCTATTGACGTAAGGTGCACCTCAAAACTATGCCGAAAATATAATTTTGGTGCTGCAAAATCTTGTAATAATATGAAAATTTATTGTAGCCCCAATTATGAAATTTAAAGTTCCATAAATAGTGACAATCAAACAGATCTATGAGCACTTAAAAATAAATGGTCGAGACAATGTATTAAAAGATGAACTATTTTTAGGACTAAACATCATTTTTTTTTCATAACTATAAAACTTGAGGTCGAGATGATCGATTTGAGGGTTTTACAACATAAAAAAAACCTTTTTCGGGATTTTTTTTTGATGAAATAAGGTTGACACCTTATATAAAGGTTTTCTCTAAGGGACTGTATTCCTCATTAATTATACCAAAAAAAAAAAACTTGCACATTTTCAAATTCTCAAGCAGGGCATTTTTCCAATTTTTACATAATAAAGAGATGAGGGCTTTTGCATCAGTTGCAATATTTTCGGCGCAATCCCATTCTTTCGTGAAATTTTGGGATCCAGTTCCCACTCTTTCAAAGAATATAAAATCGGGTCAAAGGTTTCAAAGGGTTAATGTTTCGGGATCCGAGCTGTACATTAAACAATATGTATACGTGTGGGCTTCATAATTATTAAATCCAAAAGATTTTGTGCTCCCACGGGAGTAATAGTTTTATCTACTCTTTGAGTGAAACTCAATGCAGAAGTAATTTTAAGACCCACATGTAGCGTCTTTAACTGATAGACTAACTTTAATAAATAAAAAATACAAAAATCTAATTTTGTTAAAAAATAATACTTTAAAATTAAACAAGGAGCAATCTAATTTTGGTAAAAAAAAAAAATATATCTTTAAAATTGGATAGGGACCATCCAATTCATGAAGTGTAAGATCTAAGTAAGGTCAAGAAATTTTTATTTTAAAATAATGATGTACTGATTATTGGATCTGTCTATAAAGTTAAGATTGGAAAATATTCTGAAATAAGTATTTTATTTGAAGGAACAATTGTATAGTATGAATAGACAGGAGCATAATATAGTTCCTCATACAAAGGAATCTGGGGGGTGGAAGGTGAATTAAAAAGGTTGAGAGAGGAAAATGGTGGAGTCCCCGTTTTGGAATGATTAGAGGCACCAACCCCAATGGAAACCTCGTTAAAATAGAAGAGATTGAAAGGCTACGCCTACTTTACTTTCTCTCTCTCTAAAAGTTCATTAGGAATGTACCGCTTTGGTTCTATGTGGCTTGCACTCTCTTTCTCTCTCTAAAGTTGATAAGGATAGGTCATGGCCTTCTTCTAATCTTGCAACATGCTTTTTTTTTTCTCTCTCCATCTATATATATATATATATATATATATATATATATTGTTCAAAAAGGTTAAAATATGTGGCTATTTTGGATCGATGCACGAAAAATTCAATCCGAATGGTTAATCCGATATGGGGCGATCAATTTGTTTAAGCGGACAAGTTTTGAGCGGTCAAAAAATTGTTAAAAAAATATAAAATATAAAAAAAATCAAATAAAATATAACAAATACATTTAAAGCTTGATTAAGCAAACCACATCTAAATAAAATAGAAAATTAATGAAAAAATGGATTTTAAAGAATTGATTTGTGTCCAAAAATATTGTTAATTTTTTTTAAAAAATATGATAAAGCGTAAAAATAAATATTAAAGACCAAAATTATTTCCAATTTTTGTCAAAATGATGAAAAACATTAAAAAATACATTACAAACAAAATCACTTATTTTTTGGGATTTTATATAGTTGTTTTTAAATTTTTTTTTTAAAAGACCAGGCATGTTCATCAAAACCGACCGAAACCGTAACCGGCTAGGGCCCACTTCCGATGGGCTTAGAATTTGAACCGCCCTATTTTTCCTACAATATTGGACTCATATCAATTCACCCCATAATCATAATTTTTATGATTTTTTTTCTTTTGGAAGTTTGTGATTTGATGTTATTTAACATCAATCAAGGTTTTAAAAATCAACAAACCGGACCCGAACTGGAAAATGAATCAAGAATCGTCAAGGCCGCCTAGTTCTACCTAAATATTAGGAGCAGACAGATTCTCCTGAGTAACTGGTTAGTTCTATGACAGAATTAACTCTTTGACAAAACCCACCAATTCAAATTTTATTATTGGTATTGAAAATTAATTTTAGAGCCATCACGAAAATTTCCGAAACGAATAATACGTTTGGAATGAGGATTTGATGTGAGACTTTATTTTGTAAAACCTAAGCCCTATAAAACTTCATCCATTTTTTAAACACTAGTCTGGCCACCATGCCATTGTTCCAATGTTAGTGTTCCCTCCACTCTCTGTCTATAGGTCCTATTATCCTCGAGATACCATGCCATT